AAAACCTCACTACAATCCACAAGATTGTTATGTTTAGCTATATAATTGAAGTTTTGGCAAAATTTAGTTTCTTTCATGTGTATAAGGCAAAAGACTTGAAGGGTATGGTAAAAAATTAATAGGTAAAATACTAGAAGAAATTATGGCTAGGTAGATGTTTAGGACCAAATATTATTGAGACATATAAGTGCTTTCCATTTGTTTCTATATATTAGCTAAAATAAATTAATTGTTGCTTTCTGTAATCTATGAAGACTGCATATTTGAAAGATTTTCTATCCAAGGTATGTTAAGGGCATCTTACAGTGTATATACAGCATATACTTATCCTTTAAAAATCTCTTTTAAATGGGAAAACTACATACCAAATCCCCTTGTTCATGCCTTAAAATTCTTGTTCCCTCATAGCAGGCCATATTTCTCAGACACGTTTGAATACATGCTGAAAAGAACAGGGATGAGCTCTGCCTCTTGCTAACCTCTTGGTCTGTTCTTGACCTTTTTTTACAGAGGGAGACGTCCCTGATTGACAATATCCCTGGTATAGTGCAAATTTACTGGGATGGGTTCTTAGAAAATTGGCTTACACATGTATGAATGTACAGGTGGTGTCTGAGCACAGTGCAGGCAGCACTGGCCTTTAACCCAAATGCCTGGTCATGCTGTGGAGCCCAAGCTCAGTCCTTTCCTGTCAGAGCTGGAGATATGCTGTTCACAAAAAGAATTGCTCTGGTATGTATTTCCCATTTACAGACAGAATAACTGGAAATGTAGGCATCAAGAAGTTATGTTGGAAGCATTTTGAGTTCCTGACTACATTTTCCCTCATCATTTTATTTTTCGCCCATTTTCTTTTTTATTATATATACATTATGTAATTCAACTGGGTTTAGTATGTTTCTAAAGAAAATATAAATATAAAATCTAATTAAATAATCGCACAACATATTTTTTATTCATTTAAAATTTGGAGTCCAAACTGGTCAACATAATTGATTATGAAAACATTTGTAGAAGATAAGACTGCAGTTTAATGAATTTCAGTCTTTCCCCAGTGTTTTCCAAGAATAATGTTTGTACTGCATTATAATATTGAACTCCTTTTTGCTATTTTCTCTCTCTTTATATAACTAACTCAGGTCAAGAATATCTGTTTTCATGAGACATGGTAGAAAAGTGTTAGGTAAATTGTTACAAAAGTTAATGCAGTCTATAAAATTTAGAACTTACTAATTTATAAATTTTATAACTTATACAAATAGGTTCTCTAGATAACAAAAACAGAATATTTAACTCTTTGGAATAGTAGAACAGATTACTTTTTTTTGTTTTCTGTTATTTAGGGGAGTAACTGCAAAATATTATTCTAATAAGTCACCAGTGTCAATTCAGAATTGTGATAATTCTTCAGTATTATTTATTTTCATTACCTTTGGATTAAGCATTGAATGTGATATTCTTTACTGGATGTTTTGTTCTGTATGTGCATCTTTTCATGTGTCTCTTTTCCTTCTCATGCATAAATCTAGATTATTGCAATAATCATATTAGAGCCCTTCATTTTCATGCAAGGGGCAGGCACAAGTGTTTAACACCTGTCAGTGTTGCTTAAATCTGACACAGGTATCTTTTACAGACTGTTCAGTCTCCAGATGTGTATAACCCAAATAATGTCAGCACCTCACAATTCAGAGTTTTAGAAACAAAACTTATATTCAAGTTTGAAAGCAAGCTGCATGATGATGATGGTGTGTAGGAGGCAATTTCATAACTATGAGAAAAAATGCAGCTTTGTTCTGCTCCTTGAAAAGCAATGTCACCTCAGAAAACAAACAAACAAAATATTTCACTGCTATTTCTCCAATATAGGATGAGGTTTTGGATGGAACATAATTGCAATAAAAGCTCTTATTCCATCAGTCATCACCTGGGGTTAAAGATCAGCTGGGGTTAAAGAGCGGGCCCCTTAGTCTCCTTATGCTAAGTGGCCTTAGCCTCCTGTGCAAACAATTTCTCTATGAAGAAGAAAGAGGTCTAAAGCTTCTTTAATGCTATTAAATCTGCATCAGATCAGGATTATGAACTTTTATTAGCTTTTTAAGCTTTTCTAATCACTGTGGGTAGTTTTTTGTTTGTTTGTTTGTGGGTTTTTTGTTTGTTTTGTGTAGTTTTTTGGGTGATTTGGTTTTGTTTTTTGGTTTTGGGGGTTTTTTTTTGATAATGATCTGTTCTCTTATGAATATTGTTGCTTGTTGATAACTGCATGATTTTTATTCTCAAAGGCTGATGAGATTTTGATAGTAGTCTCACAAACAGTCCAATCCATATCTAGTAATAGTAGTTCTATGTTAGAATATGTGAAAATTCATGTATTTTATCAGCGAAATACTTATTTACTTTAATCAAAAGTAGCAGGTTACAGATGAAATTATAAGTACACAATTTTAGTTATTATTTTTCTTGATTGTTTTCATAGTATATATTCCAAGCCTCATTAAAAAAAACACAAAAAACAAAATCAAAACCAAACTTAGAAGCTGTTGCACTTTAAAATTTATTTTTCATTGTTCTATCACTCCTTAAATTATTTTCTGTCTAGTAACTCTGTTGAATGTCTACTTTCATAAGTAGTCTTACAACTTGTTCAAAGATAGTTTTCTTTTAGGTGTCTTAGTCTACCATTTTCATGACTTGCTTGAATAGAATACTCTAAACTCAGTGTAAGAACTGTCAAATAAGGCCCAAAATGAGAACGAGGTATCAGGCCTTGCTCAGATATGGATCATTGCTGTGAAATTCTTTTCATCTTAAAGTGAGAGTGTAATTTTGCTAGTCCTTCAGTTCTTTTTCTGATGCTCTTTTAGTGATGCTCAACATCACTAAACCCTCATCCTGCTCACTTGCAGAAACAAAGCTAACTCCAGAAAACATGTAAGTTACAGTTCAAGGCTCTCTCTGGATGCAAAGAATCCTCGGGGTTTTTTTCTATTAAGCACACAGTGGATGATTTCTTGAAAATCTTCAACCCACAGTAGAAAGTCTCATATAACATACCATGCCTTTTATTTATGAACAATATCAAAATGATCTTACAAGGTTTCACTTGTCATTAGGCTATTAGGAAGAGAAATGGAAGACTTGAATTCTGCATTCTTATTTTAAAATTCTTAATTTTCCTGGTGAATTTATAACTATAATATTATCTGTGTATGGAAGCTTTTCCTCTTGCACCATTAAAACACTAATTATATGATATTTAAAATGTTCCGTTTTAAGCTAAGTTTTAGTCAGACAAGCCAATTAATGTAAATGAGATTTTCTTTAATAGGCCTAAAGTTAAGTAAGTCTTTTTTTGTTTGCTCAATCAGAACCTAAGACATGATCCTACTGATTAACCTAGATTCTCCTTCCCCTTCTGTTTCTGAGGATTTGCTGGTGTTATGGCTTGAACATTAAATCTCTGTTTGTCTACCTGTTTATTTGTTTCTGTGAAGCTTTCAGGACAAGAATGAAAGCCAAAGTTGCATATATAAGTCTGTGGAAATTCAGTGGGATTAGTATATTTAACACAGTTTGCTATTTTAATCTTAAAGCAAACTAGTCTTTGAAAATTGTCCACTGTATGAAACTAGAATTAATCTTAAAACCATTAGTATGGTCTGACTTTGGTTTTTTGTTAAAAATCATTATTCTAGAATAACCGAGAACTTTTCAAGGAAGAACTGAGGTGACTTCTATCTAGGAAAAAAAACAACAAACCAACAAATAGAGGAGTAACATAAGAGTTCTAAAAGTCTACTTTGGCTGGAATGAAGAACAGGCACTCTGCCTCAGAAAAGAAGCTTAGGAAAACAGTAAAGAACAACATGAAATAAAAGCATGGAAATAAGTCTTTCTACTCTTAAAAGATGCATGAGAATGAACATTACTTTGTCTGTTTTAGTATTAGAGCAAAACAAATTTCTTAAAAATTACTTTAATATACCAACATTAATTAATATATATTATGTGTTCAAGGATACTGTTATATGAATCAAAATTAAAAGAGTTAAATTTTTCTGTTATTGTTTTGGTGTCCTTTTGCCAGCCTGAGAATATAAGTGGTGATAATATACATAGATGTTAGAAAACACAAGAAAATGTCACCATCTTCCTCATGTCAATATTGACTTCCACTGAAGACTGAATATTGTTATTTAACAAGTACACTGTTATTTTTGTCGTTATATTTTACCTGTTTTGCAAATACCGTGTTGTGTAATGCACAGTTTCTTAAAACAGAAAAAAAATTCACTCATCCTCTTTATGGATTCCCCTCCACTTAAAGAAAGAAAAAAAATGCATATACATATACAGTGCAAATCAGCATGCATACAAGAGAATTTTTCTGATAGAAGAAATGCAAGATGACAGAACCACAAACTGGGACTGGTTGGAAGGAACCACAGTGAGTCATCTGGTCCAGCCTCCCAGTTCAAGCAGGATCATCCTAGAGCACATTGCACAGGACTGTGTCCAGATGGTTCTGAAATATCTCCAGGGAGGGAGAATACACAGACTCCACAGCAATCCATTCCAGTGCTTGGTCACCCTCACAGTAAGGAAGTTCTTCCTCATATTCAGATTACTAGGATTGAAGAGATTTGAGTTCAGTTTTTGAACTGAAATTTATTGATAGTGCCTATAAAGAGTTTTTAATGATTGGGGTTTTTTGTTTGTAGAGGTTTTTTTCTTTCTTTCTTTTTTTTTTTCCTTCTTTTTATTTAATTTTTTTCTGTCCATAATTTTGAGTACTGGAAATGGAAAACTGGGAAAAAATTAATTAATCAGGGAAGATTTAGCTATAAATTTAAACAGACCAGTGCAACTACTGAAAGATGGGAGCTTGTAGAAATTTTGTTCATATAAGTACACACGTACAGTATACATATCTACATGGAGACATCAGAGTAGCAAGGTTGTGTGATTAACAGTGATTCTAGAATGTTTGGCTGAAGAAATGTCACAGGAGCAATTATAGAATTATGGACATCTGAGTTAAAGTGTGATGTGATAATGACTGCCCGTAATTACCTTTTCCTTATTTGTCTTAGTTTTTTCTGCAAGTACACCCAAGCTCGGTATCTCTGGTAGTATTACCTAGGTAGTCTCAGCTTTAAAAAGTAGTACTCAAATGGTCATCTGGGTGGTGTGGACTTTGCAAGACTTGACTCTCCAAAAAAGCCTCTATTTGCTTCTGGAATGATCTGTGGAATTCAGCTGCTTCTCTCGCAGGTCTCTGTGAAACAAGCCATTCTTCATGGCTCTGTCTATAACTTTTCTTCTGCCTCTTGTTTTGCCATATTTGGTGTTTTCTGAACACCTCTTCAGTTAGCCTAACCCAGGCAACAAATTTCTCTGCTGTTGTGTGCAGCCTAGAAACCCAAAAAATATATAAATAATGTATATTATGTATTATTAAGATTTCTGTAACAATACTAATAGCGTATATGATTTTAAGGAGTTTAAAGTGCAATGCTGAACTTCTAGCAAAGAATAAGAGGTAAATGTCTTTAACTGCTTCTGAAGCCTCAAACATCTGCATTAGACCTCACTTTCATTTCTTTAATTTTTGCTAGTTGATGGGATGCTACCATACTGCTCAGAAGAGCTCTTGCAATTCATTTTTGAGAAACAATTTCTTAGGACAAACAGTACATGAGGATTATACACAAGTGGGCTATTGCAAGTTCTTTCTATTTAAACTAAGTAATTGCTCATCAGTGTCTCATGTATTTGCTTTGTTCCCTGATTGGGTGACCTGACCTTAATATATGGGAGGAATGACTCAAGAAATCAGTGAGATCTTTATTCAGGTATCAAGTTCCTTGGGAAGAGAAATAGCACAGAAGAAAGTCTCTGCTGCTTTGGAAATATAAAAGGACCTTTGCACTGCCTTGGATACCTGTATTACCCTTGACTAGCTACATGGCTCCCAGACATAAATGTAGATGGATTGCTCTCTGGTTGAGGAAAAGAGAGAGACGTGAGTCAGATTAATGAATCATCTCTGTTGTTTCACAGTTGTTCCTTTCACAGCAGGTAATGGCTAGCATGACTGTGTGTGCAATTATATTTACAGAAACAGTAGTTGGATTTTATTTGACTAATTGTGTTGTTACTGTGTTGTGCTTCTGACAGTCACTCTCTGTGCAAATCATATGGGTATAGTTGCAAAAATATTTCTTAGGTTGTTGGTTATATCATTTCATTTCTCTTATCCTTGTTTCTATATCTCTGCTTATCGTAGGCAAGATAGTTTTGTATGCCAACTGAGGATGGCACTGAATCCCTTAATCTTGTTTTAATGTCATGTTTAGACTATCTGTCCATTGTAGCATTAATTGCCTCGGTACATGCAATGATGTTTGCAGATTAAGAACTTTTTCAGTCTTGTTTGCAAACTTGTCAGATCCCTTTTTTGTTCAAGAAAGATCTGTTTCATAACTCATGTAACTCTCTTTCATAAAGTGTCTTTGGTCAACAGGATACCAAATCCATTGGTTTGTAGTGTTTAATAATTTAGTGTACCTATTTATGAATATAAGAATAACAACCTTCAATGTTTTTTTCAAAAATCAAGGAGTCTAATTTCTACAATTAACCACTGGCATTTAGTGTAAAAGACAGCATAGCAGAGCACAGCTTATCTTGCACATCATCTAACCAAAGCATCAATTAGATAAACTTTTAAAAATCCTGCTATGACAATAAAACTTTGATTCCATAGTGGCTCTGATATGTTTCTTGCAGGATCTCTAGTGACTCATCTGTTTGTAGTCTGTCAATGATAATCCCTCTTCTAATGGGAATTTCATGGGCTGATAGGGTTTTGTTAGAGACCATTGATGGTTTGTATAAAAAAAGTGAATATTTCTGTATATAAAAAAAGACTAGAACCCCCTCCCCTCCCGCAAATTTGTTTTTAAGATTTATTGCTGTTGTTGATTAAAACAAAACCATTCTTCTTTGAGTAATATTTTTTAAAAAATAGTTAGAGGGTTTTGTGTGGGAGTTTTGGGGATTTTTGTTTGTTTGTTTGCTTTATTTTTGCATAATATCAGTGATGTGATTCTAGGCACATGTCAGTGTGCCTAGAATCTTTTATTTAGACCATTTAGTATCAATCTCCTTGGCCATATAAGGTGCTGGATTACTCACCTAGTGTAATGTGGCTGGTTGTAATTTTTTGTGAGTGGTGCATCTGTTGATGCTATCCATGAAGAAACCCATTTAAAGCTTGTGTTTAGTGATAAGCTGTGCATGGTACCAGAAGAATATACTCTGATCATGGGCTCACATTGATTTTTACAAATTCCTTGTAATTAGTATATTACAAATTCATTATATCCTATTAAATATGCTATTTTAAGGCCTTGGTACACAACAGTCTTGACAGTCTATTTTATTTTTCAAAAAAAAAGGAATGGTAAATCAGATGCTAGCCCAGTAAAAATGCTGGTTGATTGCTAGGGCTGCAGCTAGGATTTTAAAGGGAAGTTTTGAAATTTTATATTTCATCCTGACAAAATAGAACTTAAAAAAAACAAACCAAAAACTAAAACCCTAGAAAACTCAGGGTGTTAATGCTGAATGGAAAGTCATCTCTGGTCTTGTCTTATTAATTTTTCAGTCTCAAGATATTATTTTAATTTTTAATAATCTTAAAAATTAAAAGATCTCACTAACCTTATGTGCTAGAAATAAAGGAGAGACCATAGTGCTGGGTTAAAGTTTTAGGTATAAACTGTCTAAAACCGAACATATAATGCAAATATGAACAAACCCACTAACTTTCAATTAGGCCTCTGAAAGCTATTGAAGTAATTAAAATCCAATTACTTATTCAGCAGTTGTTAACCCAAAAAGATGGATAAGCTTTATTTTCTGTGATCTTTACAGAATAGTAACATACCAGTTTCTGTTACTATAAAGCTATTGGAGCTGAGTCACTAAAACAAGAAGTATTAATTTAGAAAAATATATCAATAAACCTTATGAAATATATAATTGAAGGTAAAAGGAATATTTGGAAATAGTTTCTGCCTCAAATGGAAGAAAAATTGGAAAGAGAAAAAGAAAAAGTTTTAGACTTTAAAAAATAGCCTGGATTGTGAATACTTTTGGAAGAAATCCTAGGTGCTGCAACCTGTAGAATTAATGGAAGCTTCTGGCATTGTCTCTGTGGAGCTCCAAGCCAATAGGAGGAATCAGAAGTATGGATTATTTGATGTATGTATGCCAGTCAGGATGGTGTTGAAAAATCCATCACACTTTGCTATCTGAAATAAGTTAAAATGACTTAATGCTAAGTCTGCAGCTAAATGCTGCTGTTACCTTTGAAAAATCCAATGGGGAGAGAAACTTATTTTTACCTTTGCAGTGACTGTTATTTGGTATTTAATTACAACATTGGGACATATAAAATCCGTATCTGTAATGCCAAATTATCTTTCTGTTATGTAAGCTCCTTTCCAGAGGAGCAGCTAGCTTCCTTACCCATGTGAAACATTCTCTGTTGTTTTGTTTTTGCTGTTTTGAAATTCAAAAAAATACGTGATTTGCGTTTCTTTAATAGCATTCCGGGATGTGGCTGCTGCTTTTTGTTTCTTCTTGAGCATTTGGCATACTGTTCCTTTCCTTGTGGGCAAATAGGAGATAAAGGGGAAGAAAAAAAACAAAAAAGGAGGACATTTCTTTTCATTTTCATTTGGGCAGTGTCAGCAAGAGTGATATACTCATCTAAGTAATTAATTGTGTATAATCTGTTTCTCTGATTGTAAATTGAATCTAAGAATATCCCAGCCTTTTGCACATACTGCATAACAACCTGTAATCATCAGGCCTCTACAGTTGTCCTTATACTATTTTATTTCTTCATATGGTAAATATTTTTTGAATTTTTTGATATCAAGTGTGTTAGCAGTTGGCTTGATCTGTGAATTTTGATCTGTGAAAATGTGGAAGTTAGAAGAGCTTTTTGGATAATGGACTGTAAAAATTATAGGGAAAAATATACCAGCTTTGTACTTCCCTTGCCATTTTCAGCATACCAGTTACCAGAAATCTATATTCCTTGAGGAATTTTGTTCCATGATTTTTGTTCCCAATTCCTATTTTCTTTATTCAACTGTCTTTCTCTTGAAGTGTATTAAATATATATTGTATATATATATCATAAATATATTTTTAAATATATAATTTCATAGACATTGTACTGCTGGATTTTTTACATCTTCTCTAACAGCTTCAGCTGTTTCCCCTCGAACTTTGCATTCTGCTTCTCCATCTTGCTTTGTTCTCCACTGATTTCTCAATAACTCTTTTGTAGCTTTTTCTACTTTTTCTCATGATATTAATTTTTTAATAATGTCTGATTGTTTGTGGGGTTTTTTTGTTCCCCATCCACCCTTTTCTTCCCACAAGTGAATTTCTGTTACCATATATGAAAGAAAAATCTTTATTTTATTTTATTATATAAAGGTGCCTTTTTTTCTTTTCTTGATGTTGTTGTTTCTATTTTGTAAAGGGCAGTTTACGTAGAATAATTTCATAGGTAAAGTAATAGATGGTACTAGATTAATATAGACACTTTTTGGGGTTTTGTGAGTAAATATGCTCTTTACCAAAATGTTGTGTGTAAATGTGAGAGTGGTACAAGAAATAACACCCCTTGATACTTTACAGCCATCAGCTAAAATTGCTGGCTTAAAGAGGTGAGGGGCATTCAATGTTCTTTTCTCTCTATTTCTTTAGGAAACTGAACAAGTTCCAGAGTGACAAGGACCATGTTTCATAATAGTAACATACCTACAAATAAATTTAGCAATAATTTAGGAGTTTGATATCACTCAATTATCTTACCAATGAATGGAAATTTCCTTATGCTATGGAAGTATAAAAAAGAGCCCAGTTTCCCATTTCTAGAAGGTCTGTCAATATAGAACTAGTCAAAACAATTTTGGTTGTTGGAATCTCTATTAAATTATTTCAAGAGCTTTTTCTTAATTAGAGTTTTCTTAGTTTCCAGTCTCACACACATAGCTACAATTAAAAATAACAAAGAAGCAAGACAACAACATGTAATACAGTTTCAAATGCATTCCAAAACAGTTTTGTCACTACTTCTGTCAGACTGACTAGCATGTGCAGAAGACAGGCAATTTTATATTGTGCCTCTGTTACCTAGGCTGAGAAGAACCTGTTGCTTCAATTTATCACGTAACTTCCCATAGCTCAGCTCTAGCAGCCTTGGGAATACAGAATGGAGATCAACTATAGATGAAAACTTTCCTTCATCTACCTAGAAATGTCACTTTTTTTCTGCCAGTTATCTGAGGTCTTCAAGAATACTGTATATTCTCTTGGCAATCTATCAAACTCCTATTCAAAGGATATAACAAAAAAGTCACATGCAATTTTCCTTTCTGACACTAGTGCATTATTTTGCCTTTGGTCTCCAGGTCAGTACACCATTGTTTCTGCAGTGCTGAAGGATATAATATTGGCAATAAACACAAGCAATGCAGGAAGTAAGATTTTTCTGGTGATTTGAAATTTTTTCAGGTTTTGATAATAATTTATTTATTTATTTATTTATTTATTTATTTTTGGTTATAGGAGATTTCCAGGGCAGAATGCAAAGAGAGAAGTCAGAAAGTATATGAGCAGTGTAATTTATGACAAGCTCTATAGCTAATTGTCACTCTGTAGCCATGGAAATGAAAAGGGATGTATAATGGAGAAATTGAACTGAGCTAAATGTGCATTTGCAAAACTTGATAATTCAGAAGAATTCAAATGTGGGTCAATTTGATGGAAGATATGGGACACTGAGATTCATGGCAAGGATGCATCTCCTCGTGGTGGTGAAACACAACACATTTTGCATCACTATTCTGTTAGTTTCCTGGTAATTCATTGTATTGTCTTACACTAAGCAGTAGCTACTCTGCTGTAACGATTTCCAGCAATGCTGGTGGAACATTCCCACCTCATCTTATTTAATTATTTAATTTAATTTTAACTCACTCTGACAGTCTCTTGAGCAACACAACTCATTCTCATGAGGGCTCCCAGGAGAGGGCTGTTACACAAACCTACTCTGCAGTTGCTTGCATCTTTATAACAAAAGCCATAAATCAGGACACTTACTCTCAAGATGCAGACGATAGCAATGAACAGGCAGCATCTCAGTATGTTAGCTTCAATTCAAGGGATTTCAGAAAGTTCATTTCTTTCTTTTTTTTTCTTCTCTGTTCACAGTTTGCTTTTCTACTCTTTCTTTTCCTGTGTCTTCTGTGTTAACTGTGTGAGCTGTTTCCATCTGAACTTTCCCCTGTAGACACACTCTGCTGTCTCCTAGGTAGATTTGAGGTTTCTTTTGCGGTGGGTGCTTAATCTAGACCTTTAGAAGGAAATTGCTGAATATGGACCTTTGTACTGAGCATTAATTAAGCTTTGGCTTTAAAGATGTTTACCAGGTGTTACACTTCAAAAAATCTTCACTTAAAACCCCTCCTCTTTTAATAGCTGAATTTGTCTTAGTGGAAATTATTCTTTAGGCTTCGTGTACAATTCCAAAACAGTTGAAGGCATGAACTTCTAAGTATGATTATAACAGGAAGTAGATATCATTGTAATGTTGTTTTTTTTCCTGTTACTCTTGTTGTTATTGTCATTACTGTTACTATTACTGCTATTTTTATTATTACTATTATTATTACTATTACTACTAAGTATACTTGTTCAGAATAAAGGATTTAAAAATTTCAATTTTGGGGTTCGGGTGCTTAAAATTAAATGTCTTAATTGAATTTATTTCAATATTATAATATAAATGTATATTATTTATATTTTATACACCTATACACACCTATATCTATATCTAATCTATTTCTATCTCTGTCTCTATCTATCTATATCATCTATATCTAATTCTACATAAAATATAATATTAATATTTGTCCTGTCTCATATGTGACTGTGGCATAACAGTTTGCAGGCTCCCTATTGGTTGTTTTGTCTTGCTTCAGGTTTTTTTTTTACCTATGGATGACTTCTGAGAGGGAACAGATGCAAAGTTTGGTTTAGTAAATCTTGAATTTTTTTGGTAGCTTCTGCACTCATATACACATTTTTATGAGGCAAGAATTTTCCATCAAAGCTATCCCCACAGTTTTTATTAAAGAAAGTCCAGTAGCAATAATCTAAAATACATTTTAAATGTGCTATTCTGAAAAATCTCAATGCACTTTACATACCATTTTTAAGTTATTACCTGCTCCTTGTGGTCTTATGAATGGCTCCCAGGCATTTCTCAGGATAGAAACAAAAGGAAGAAAAATAATCCTTGAATGGATAAAAGTAAAGCATTAATATTTTGTGAGATACTTCTTAATTTTAATATACATCTGAAGTATAACGATGACTAATCTATTTAAATAGCTTATCTGTATATATAGAAATCTATACAATGAAACTGCATGCCTCAAGGTAAAAAAAATATTTCTAACAAGAATCAGCAAAGAATGCAGGAAGGGAAGAAAACTAAGAAAGAAGCATAATAGAAATAAATGGGAGACCCAGAAGGGCTGGATTGTGTCTCTGATCTAACTTAGACATTGTACAACATTTAACTGTAAAAAAAATTCCTATTAAATCACACTTGAATTTATAAGAGATAATAATTCTTCATGCTGTATAAATCTTTTCTGAGATGCAATCCCAGGATTTTAAGGGAATGGTGTCTTGGACTTCATAGGGATTGAGGGGAGACTACAGTGCTATGTAAATAAAAAGTCAGATAATGCTAAATGTCTAAAAATTTATTTCTTCAGTTGAAAATGCTATACAGTTTCTTTTTTGAGCTTCTGCGTAACCACAAGGGACTGAGTTCTTTCTTTTCTTCAGCAAAACCCACTGTCCTGAACTGAGTACTAGCAATGGAAAATACATCCTTTCTGTCTATTTCTAATGTGCAGTAGAGTTGAAGTATTCTTCCATTGTTCTGATCAGGAATTGTTCTCGGCTAAGAGGTTTAGGTTTCTATTACTATTATGGACTTGAGAGAAACGTAAGTTCAAAGAAATTGTAGCCAAAAGACACCTAATAAATTTTCTTCCACTGCAGTATTTTTCTGTCTGATTTCTAAATTCTTGTTTGATTATTCTTTAGGGATTTTGAATTTATTCTGTTGGTTCCTACAAAACCTAGAAACAAAATTAGTTTATTTTGTTTCTGTTTATGTAGCTTATGTTTCTGTTTATGTAGCTTTATGATACTCAATGAAAACCAGTATTAGAAGATTCCAATTTTTGTAGTTTCAGTTGCATGATTTTAGGCTCCTGACGGACTGACTGATATGGATATAATCTTTGACATCATCAGATAACTGAACAAATGGTTATCTTAATGTAATTGTTTCTCTAAAGTTGTAGAAATATTTTAAGTGCTGCATCAACTTCCACATATATTCACATTTCACTATTGCAGAATAAAAGTTACATTTTCCTTTTTGAGTTGAGAAAATATTATCAATATACTGGAAATACTGATATCAAAACAACATGAACTTCTTGTCAGTATGACATAATTTTATGATGTCCTAGATGATATTGGTTGGAATTTATATAAAGCACAGGGTGTAAAAATGAACATTTTGACTGAAGGTTCCTGTCAGTATGCTCTAGTATTGACTCAGAATTTTCAAAGCCCATTTTGGTGGCATTCTCACAAAACCCATTATAGACTAGGTATTTTTCATCAAGCTGGATATCTGTGGGGTGTATAGAATATCAAAACTCATGTGAAATGATTTAGCGATCACTATTTAATGACACTGTAGCACTGATTTTATTCTACTGCCAGACCAGGTCAATGATTTGTAGGTAAAAGCCAAAGGAGCTGTTCTAATTCATCCAGGTTTTAATGATGTGAGTGTTTTCACAGCTTGTGGGAACCATGCTAAGTCTTACACTATTTTAACATAATCAGGAAGTGCTTTCATGGGAGGGATTGAAAAGAAATTTTGAGTACAACTTTGAGTGTAATCTAAGGTCAGAAACCTGAAAACTGCTGTTTTCAAGTGATGAGTAAGTGTCTTTCTTTCCTTTTCATATTAGATAGAAAATGGTCGGCTGTGGAACTCAATTGTGAAGACCTCAGAAGAAATACCAATTTTTCCAGTCAGCTTTTCATAATGTAAATATAATTTGAGCTTTCCCAAATGGGCAGCTAAACCATGAACAAGCAGAAAAACCCAATTTGGACTGTATTTTTGAAGCAGACTTCACCTTCTCTCTCGGGACCTTATTGAAGGATTACGGCTGAAAAGGACAAGAGAAAGAAAACCTTGAACAGAAATCTTATCCTACAATGAGAATTACAAGTACATCTTGTATCTGCCCAGTCCTAGTTTGTCTCTGTTTTGTGCAGAGGTGTTATGGAGCTGCTCACCATGGCTCCATCAAGGTGACCAGAAATCAAACCAAACACATAGAAGGCGAAACAGAAGTGCATCATCGTCCAAAGCGTGGATGGGTGTGGAATCAGTTCTTTGTTTTAGAAGAACACATGGGACCAGATCCTCAGTATGTAGGAAAGGTAAGGTGGTTGTTTTCTTTTGGCTTTGGTTTGTTTGGGTTTTTTTTTTCCATCCCCTGAAATGTGGCACTGATAAGAGGCAAATAATTTATCTCCTTAGATGGCACCTCCAATTTTAAAGAAAGACACCTCTTGGATTGTTGCATATATTTACAGTGAACCTGCCAATTGCCTGTGTATACTATGGTTATTATCAAAAAGATAAATAAAAGTATATAGGATGAAGATTCTAAAATATGATAAAATAGTTTTCCTTCTGAGCTCAGCTAAACACTGTGACTGCAGTTGATCCTGTTACATCAATTTCCAGAACCCTGAATGCATGGGGTCACTGCTAATGGCTTTTCCAGACTGTTTCAGAATTATATTCAGTTCTGCTTCAGGGAGTATTACAAATGCAATCTAAGCTCCATAGGGTATTCATTCCACTCTGAGTGTAGAGTGGAAAAGATCTCCTCCAAAAGGAAACCCTCTGTGGATTTTTTCATATGAGGAGGCACAAGGTGTATTACTTGTTGGAGTTCCTCAGAAGTCTGTAAGAACAAGCCCAGCATTTATGTTCTGATCTATAGAGTGAGCTTCAGACATAAAGTTCAGACTAATATAATTGAACTGAACCCTGGCCAGCTGAAGTCTGATTCATCATTTGTAATGTTGTCTGTAGAGCTTGTGTTTTAACTTTGCATTAAATACCACAAAATTCTCTATATAGTTTTAACGTGTGATACATGACTGAGGAAGTTTAGCTCTCCCTGGAGACTGTCTAGCTGCATTATGATAGAATTTTTTTCTTAGATAACATGAGTCTTAATTTCCTTAATGAAATCAGAGAAATACATAGAATATGAGGGATAAAGGAAGATGGTTAATGGGGAAGAATGGCATGGAAAAATAATGATTTCATTTTAGTTTCCCTTGAAATTGGGAATTCTGAAAATTATACCGTAGAAAGATATGCAAGGAAACCAGTAGGTTCTGAAATCACAGATGTCTGATAGTGAGGGCTTCCAGATTTGAGGAGTATCATCTGAACTAAAAATAGGAAGTGGAACAACTGTATTTAAGGGACTGTTAACACAAAGGCTGAAAAAATATTCTGTTATGACAAACTTAGTAAAATACTAAGGATTTCAGAATGCCAAAAGTTATTGAGACATGCAAAGGAAATGTAAACTAAGAAAGGCCCTTTCTAAATGGTTTGCATTGAAATAGAAGCTTTTAAAATGGGTAAGGGGACAAGGATATATGCCTTTAAACCACTTTACATGGATTAACATAAAAGCTATTTAAGTTGATTGCAATTTCACTTAAAAAAATAAGGTTTTGGTGGCCATGAGTTAATTTAGAATTAATATTTAGTTAACTTAGAATGAAAACAAGAATGAATCAGATTCTGGAAGAGATTACTAATGGGAAGAGAGAAAACCAAAGCTGAAGTGGGCTCAAAATACAGCATACTTGTCTTTATGAAAGCATTTATATACATGACTGCATCCCAGAACAGAAGCCTGGATTCAGTGAGCATGGTCCCTTTCAATTTTATGTTCTTAAGATAATATTATATGTTTTTTTCATCCTTTGACCACTCTATTAATGCCACATTTACAGAGATCAATGAATAGAATTTCTTTCAATTCTTTGTGGTCAAAATGTGACTGCATGCCTTGTTTGAGGATATTTCTCCCTCTGTACTTACCAGTTTTTCTCACATTTTCCTCAAATAATTCCCTCTGGTGCTCATAATTTTCTACAGTGAGTAGTTCGCAACATTACTAAGCTTATCTTTGCAAAAGCTTTGTGGAACTTAAAAGCAACTGCACTCTATTTTCCTCTTGGTCTGATGATTCTGATAACCTGATTTGAAAAAAAGATCAATTATATTAGCTCAGGCATACACTTGTCACTTTTAAAAAGTGGGGGGAAAGCCTGGCTGAGTCTGTCATAATATTAGTAATTAACACAATTTCAGTAGTGGTCATTTAACAAAAAAACCAGACATTTTAGAAAAAGAGAATTTTTACTAATGCTGCATTTAATTGTACACACCTCATCAAGGTCTCATTGTGCATGCCTTTAATTTAATACGTAATTTTCACACAAAGCCCCTCAATTATACAGGAAGTCAGTTCTCTTTTATTCCAGTCTTCTGTTGGGTGGCAGCATGCTGTCAATTCTGTCAATTATTAATTCTGTAGACTACTCTGCTTCACTGGTGAGAGTTTTGCCATTTGAGATCTGTCCTTTCACATATTTCACACAAAATTTGGGAGTAACATCACAGAAAGCAGAGTCATTATGTACAATGGTGTTACAATGCTCACAGTCTTTGTCATGGAAATGCACAGTGAGGACAAGAATAGGGTAGTCCTGCAATGAAAATGGTAAGCTTTCTCATTCTTACTGTGAAATGACTGTCAAGAGGATGGATTAATTCACTGCCATCATCAAAAAAACAGGACAACAAGTTATCATTATATTTTAATATCAAGCATACCCCGCCTTCCCCATTATTCCTTTTTTTCCTAAGAAAATGTCATTTGGAGAATTGAAATCTGTGTAGAATTAATCCCTATTAACGGTACTCGCAAGGTTTTTCTAGGAACATGGTGAGGCACAGGTCCTGGAAAAATGAGCTTATTGTAGAAATAAAAAATGATCCTTTTGTAGATATTGTCTGTGGTTTTCACATTATTGGGCTGGATCCCTGCTGTTGCACTTGGGGTAAGTCTTCAGTGTTTCAGAGTAT